CTACATTCTAAGATTTAGTTAAATTGAATTATGTTTAAATAATTTTGCTTATTTATTTTCATGGCTGCAGGAAATCAAATACTTTGTTACACTTTTCACTGAACAACTGAATCATAAAACAAATGAATGATAAAAGTTACTCTTAGATCACATTTTTTGTTTTGTTTTATTTTTGGTACTGGGGATTGAGCTCAGGGGCATTCAACCACTGAGCCACATCCTCGGCCCTGATTTGTATTTGATTTAGAGATAGGATCTCACTGAGTTGCTTAGTGCCTAGCTTTTGTTGAGGTTGGCTTTGAACTCACAATCCTTCTGCCTCAGTCTCCCCAGCCACTGGGATGACAGGCGTGTGCCACCATACCTGGCTCACGTTTTTATAGAGCTTTATCACTTAGGACTTACTTATAATACAGCTGGATGGGCCCTTCTGGTAGTTTTTGGTTCAAGAGAGCTGGGATAGGGCCCACACTCTGAAAACCACTGTCTCAAATGTGTTTTCTCTAGTTGTAAAATATACATAGGCTTACTGAGAATCCAATTTTGAATTATTTTGTTACTTGTGAATTTAAGTATGGCAGTTCATCTGTCATATAAGGATCTAAGTCTGTTTCGGACACTTTGCATCATGTTGCTAGGGAAAAATAAAAGTAGCTTTTTTTTTTTTTTTAACCAAGAGAAAATGTTAAACACGATATCCCTCACCCAAATTTATTCCAGATTGAACAGTACTTTTTATTCATTTATTTTTCTGCAGCAATGGGAATTAAACCCAGGATCTTACTTATGTTAGGCAAATATTCTGTCTTTGAGCCCTGGAACAGTATTTCTAACCCAACTTTCTAGAATTGTTACTTCCTATTTTACTCTTTCCCTTTACTCTGTGGTTACCTGAAAAGATAAGTGACAGTCATCATACATTCTGCTTCCTGGTAACTTCCCTACAATTTAACACTCAGTCACCCTACCCCAGTTACTCAGAATTCTTACCAGCTTGCGTCAGTGAAAGGTCATTTGCCCTGAGCTAGCTTATAAGTTAGGACAAGAGAACAATTACCAGGCTACTTTTATACCGAGGCAATAACTGATGTTTCTGAAAATTTATAAGCCTTTATGTTTTGATTTCTAGTTGATATACAAATTAGTAAAGATTAGGAAGTTAAGTGCTGGGATTAAAATAAGTTTGAGGGGTGGGGGGAAAGCAATGTAAGTAGAGAAGAGATTCTACTTCACTTAGTAACTTCCATTTTTAGATCAGGAAGTAATTTGTTCATATTCTGCTTGCCCTGGAGAGGCAGGCTTCCTTCCAGGGTAGAAGAAGGATGCGGGAAGGGGAGTAACCATGGCAACCTGCCCAGCTATGTGGGCAAGTAGAGTATGGGGCCCCGCATACACTGGGAAGAATTTTCGTTTCTAGCCAAGTCACTCCGTTTAATTCTGGTGGTCCCTCCCTGCCCACTTCCTTCTAGAATGCTGACTTCAGGGGGAAGCCTTACTCCTTCTCTGCAGGGAGTCGGAGAGAGTGTGGGGAAGACTTCAATGAGACCAGAGGTCATTCTGACCAAACCAAACTGCAGGCTTCCAGGCTGAGAACAGAGAGTAACTCCCTGTCTGTTCTAGCGTGAACACAAGCAAACACACCGACTTTGTTAATATTAAGTGCTTGAATGATTAACATTTTCAGGTAAGTGGGTGGTATCCAATTTTAATAAAGAAATTCTCCATTTGCCTTCAATTTTCACAAAGACACAAATTTCAATTGCTTGGGGGACAGAAAGAAACATTTCTAAAGCAGATTGAATAATGTATTCTAAGTACATTAGATGAACTTGTCTTCCAACAAGCCCAGGTAAGTATATTATTCTTCCTCAGATAAAGGAGTATAAGTACAAAAAGGTCATGCACAATGTGCCTAAGGTCATTTACTAGCAGCTGTACAGATAGTAGTTGAACCTATGGAAAAATACTCCAGAACTCACGTTTTCAACCACTAGCCAATTGTGCTAGGAAGAAGGCAATAGATAGCATGTGAATGCTCGGTCACTGTGTCCCCATCCAGTATCAATTCCCTCATCAGGAATTTGCATGCATTTTTGTCTCTGAGATGAGACTTGGTAGCCTGCTTTCCCTGATTTACGTGATCAATCCAGTCAGGACACCTTATCATGATTTAGGTTTCCCTTAAACACATGTATCTGATGTCAAAGCTATTTCATCTAAATGTGACCTGGCCATCCTCTGTGCAATTCAGTGGCACTGCTTCAACTTTAGAATTACACAGCAGCTCCAGAAAAAAATTTTTAAAAACCACATCCTGTTCCTCAGGTGTTTCATATTGCCAATCTGGCTCCCATTCTGGGTCTGTCTGAAGGGAAGAGAACTTCACATGTTCAGTCAGTTACCTAACTCTCCCTGGTCAGTCACCTTTCAAAGGAGGCATGAGTTCTGGATGATCAGTAAGGCAACTTAAACCCAGAAGAGCTCCCTCTTCAGTAGCCATCCCAGGTATTTCAGCATCTTGCCTGTGTCTTTATGAAAAGTAACAATAGATTCTCCAAGTTGAGAGAATGAGGGAAGGAAATACACAATGCCTTCAAAACTGATAGGTTGAAGTATTGGTTGTAGTAATCTTAGGTTTATGGACATAGGAGGACAGATAAGAAATGAAGCAACAGGTTTTAAATGTTCCACCATAAATCCATGTCTCCACAAAGCCTCCTGCTGGCCACAGGCCATTCAGCAAAGCATATGTTTTCCTGTTTTCTCAATCTTCAGATAATTGAGGCATGGCTCAGCAGGCCAACAAATACCACACTGAGCCGCTGGTCAGAAGCTTCCAGAGGCCCCTGTACCATCATCATGCCAACAAGTGCCTTAAAAGCAATAAATATCTTTTAACCCAAACAAAATGACTGAAATCCATTCCAAACTGTGGAGTTGGACAACAAAATAGGTCTAAAGTTAGGAATTTGGATTTTTGGTTTAATCTAAAACTATAAAAAGTCTTTAGTAGAAATGCAAACTCTGAATTTTGTCCTTCACAAATCAGGCAAGATCAATCAATTTTTGGTTTAATCTAAAACTATAAAAAGTCTTTAGTAGAAATGCAAACTCTGAATTTTGTCCTTCACAAATCAGGTGAAGATCAACCCTGTTGTGCCAAAGACCATCAGAATGGCAGATATAAGCATTAGACCTCAAAGTTGGGAGACATTTCTCTACTATTTTCTTTCTCTAATCATACATTAAAATGTGAGAGGGTATATAGGCTTGGGGCATTCAGCTCCTGGGGCAGTCATTGATACAAAGAAATAGAACTGGGAGTAGAAAGATTAGGAAGTTGGTCACCAACCATGGGAAAAAGAATCTGGTTGGCGTTAGCAGGAAACTGATGAAGCTTGTGGAAGAAGTGGCTCCCTGAATACACATTGGGAGAAACCACCAGGCTTCCTCTGGGACTCTGGCCATGTTGCAGTCATTGATTTTTCCAGACACCTAGCAGTTCACCAAAAGAGGTCTTTCCTCAAAGATGAAGGATTGCTCAAATCTCAAATACTCCCGAGTTCTCAAGGCAATAAACTTACAGTGTCATTGCCTATCTTCTTTCAGTAAAGAGATTGATAAAAGCTAGGGTGGGTGGGGCACCTAGCCCAGAGAAGGGCACCAGCAAGAAGAGAGCCTGGTGACAAGCCATTTGTTAGCTTGGAGGCTTTACCATCCCCACCTAGTTCCTCCTTCCCCAGAAGCCAGTGGTTGCTTCTGTATGGGGAGTCAACCTCAAGATCTTAAGGGAGATCCATAATATATTCCATCAAAGCCATTCCAGGAGCCTTATCAGACATCTCAAAGACATTTTTGTAGCTGCCTTCTTTCCTGCCATTACTTCTGTTTGAATTACGTCTTACCTCCTTCTCCTCCATTCTCCTACTTTGCCTGATTAGGGCCAGAAATTTTTTCATTAAGTCACTTTATAGAGCAATAGCAACATTTACTATTCATGGGGCCGCCCCTCCATAATTTTTAAGTCTTTCCATGTGTCTGGAAGCTTGTTTCTGCTCTTCTCGTTTTACAGTGTGGCTCTCTTCCTTCCAAACACAAGCTAAAAATGAAAGAGGAAAAGCTGGGGGGGGGCAGGGAGGGGGTTTGCTGTGGGGTGGAGATAACATCCAGATTCTTTAAGTGTTTTTAATCCAGTTAAATTTCCCTTTGGACTCAAACAGCTCCCTGCTGAAACTGACTGTGGACCTCAATTCCAGCCTAAGAATTAAGTCAAGAAGGAAACACGGCAGAAACAAATAACAGAGTCAGCTCTATGCTATGAAAACCGCTATGTTGACTGGGGCTCCAAGATTTTAACCCATTCATTTTTTTTCTCCCCTTTTTCTCCCCCTTTCCTTAATCTTTCCAACCAGTGTATAGCAGTGGAGCAAGCACCATTTAAAAGCTTCGGGATTTAAAACAAGTTTGTTAAGTCCCTTGGGCACATACTTTCTTAGGAATGCTGGTGCAAGATAAAGTTCACATTTTAATGCCATATGTTGTCAGTCACCAGGGGAAAAAAGCTCCTTATAGGCACAAACCAGGTCCTGAGCCTTTGTCATAAGGCAAAAATAAACACCCTTGGAGGAGTTAATTAGGCGGTCAGCAGCCACACCAGCGTCCTACCAGGGCTGCCCGCAGAGCTTTTAAACAAGCACACCACACACACACACACACACACACACACACACACACACACACAAAAGGAGGCGCTTGTTAAATGTCATGACGATGGGCAATCTGGACTCCGACCCCAAAGGTAAATGCATCCTGTGAAAGCATTCCACAGATGTCAGGCCCCCCAAACGCTCGCTCCCCCAAGTACACTAATTTCTAAGATTCCCCACAGCCCAAAGTCTGCACCAGAGGCGGGGGAGCAAAGGAGAGAAGGAGATCGGAAAAAGAGTAATAATAATAATAATAAGGGAGCCAAAGGAAAAAAGGATCCCGAAGCTACTCACCGACTAGCTAGCGCCCCTGCGAAGCTTCGAGCATGACTTCCCCGCGCCGCGCCGCGCCGGAGCCTCCAGGCAGCAGCGCAGCCGACCCGGTGGGCTCCGCTTAAATAGCCGCCGGCCGGGAGCCTGGAGCCGCGCGGCCACTCCCGGCGAGAGATATGGTTCTAATCAGATGCTGGCAGCTGAGGACTCCCCAGGAATGTGCCGGGATGTTTTTGCTGCCTGGGCTGGGTAACTCCCCCTCAACGTGTCGGCCGAGTCTTCCAAACTTAACTGTTTATTAACTAGCGCCGCAGCCACGCCGAGCACCCGGCTGCCAGCCCCGCCAGCTGGGGGCGATCGCAGGAACCCGAGCCAAGCGCAGGAGAACTGAGCTCGGGAGAAGTCAGGACTCCCAGACCCCGGCGGGCGGGGTGGGGGAGGGTGCAAATAAGGACAGGAAAGGGAAACTCTACAGGAAAGGGGTGGGATCCACGCAGATATATTTCACAAATCCGCTCCTTCGAGCGATGTGGCATGCGAAGTCATCCTAACCTTTGGGGCCCTTTGAACAAAGAGCTGCCTTTACTCCCGACTTTCCTGACAAGGGGCTGTGGGTCCCTGGCAAGGAACTGCGATTTCTAAAGTCGAAAGTGCCATCGCCTCCTTTAAAGAAATCTGGGTCTCTCATTGCAGACGTGGATGCGCTTAAAATTGGAGGGAAATCTATGCATATGTAAAACACTGTATTTATATATGAAATATAATCTTGCATATAGAGATACGACGTAACCTATTTAAATAAGCTATATTTCTAATACAAACATTGTATATTGGCTTCCCTTACCGTGCATATACATCCGTAGACACGAAACATGGCTTGATCAGCACTGATTCTCAGTATTTCCTTTCCCTCCATGAAAAGCGCGAGATGTAAGAAAGAATGTTTCAAAATTCCATCTCTGTCAGTAGAAGGCACTGCACGGCATATCTCAGTGTAGGTTTAGAAGCTAGGAATTCATTTTCTCCGTATTTTAAAATCAGGAACAATTGTAAAATCGCCACAGAAGTTTCATTGCTTTTTAAGAATTATGAAATTATTCTTATAAAAGGAATGTCTTCCTTCCTCCCCCCCTCACCCAAAGTCGGAGGTAGAGTGTACTAAACATGAAAATGCCAAATTGTGACTTGGAAGGGAGGGGTTATTGATTTTATTGTATAAGTAACACAATGGATTTGCATTTTACCGCTGGAACCTGAAGGTTCAACTTGGGCTTATGGGACACCAAGGATGTATTTTGTGGTCTTTGCCTATCCCGGACTGCAAAGCCACTGTGTAATTTGGGGTAACTTAAAGTGAGTGGCAGTCCTTGCTTGCAAGAGGTCAGGCTTGGAACATACAGTGTGCAGAAGAGATTGAGGGGCACCAGGAAGCACAGCTGGCCAAGAATACTTCCTTTCTTAGCCTCTACTCTTTCTGTTATGGGTCTTATCTCCTCTACCTGGGCATGCAAAGGCAGGGGGACTGGTGCTAAATTTGCAATATTTCTCTGACATAATTTGCTATTGTTTTTTGAATGCCTTTGTGTGAATGACAAGAGGTATATAAAATTTAGCCCTATAAAAGTAATTATAACATTTAAGCAAAGAACTTGAATTTTGATGCCACTGAAAACATGATTCATTCTTTCTAAAATCTAAAAGTTCAGAGGAATGGTTTCACTTCTGAAAGCTAAGCAACTGGGGGAGAAAAGCATCTGATTTCAGGCAAATAGGGGTTTTGACAATGCAGAAGAAATAGGTCTCTTTGACCTTCAATATGTAATATTTTCTCAACTCAGCTGGAGTTATATCTCAGTGGTAGAAAAATTGCCTAGTGTGCTCAAGGCTCTGAATTCCATCCCCAACACTGAAAAGAAAAGGAAAAAAAGTGTACACCCAAATCTAATTTTTTAAAATTCTACGACTCTTACTAAGAAGTGTTAACATGAGCATCACAGAAGACAGAAATAAGAGAAAGAAAGAAAAAGAGAAAAAAGAAATATCAACTTATGTTTACTATACTCTACCAAATGGCAGATTTGTGTTAGAAGCCAGAGAAAGAAAATTATTTCATTTGCTGTGAACTCTAGTTTGAAGAGAAGATTTTGGTGAAAACAGTTCATATGTGAGCCCTGGGATCACACATACAGCTTAAAATGGACACCTTGTTTTACACAGAAATCCTGAGTCGACAATGAGGAATTCTGGTTTGAAGAGTATTTTTATATCTCTAGGGTGCTGATATTGCTTCTGGAAGTAATCCAATGTCCTGCTCACATTAAGGAAAAAAAAAGGTGTGTGTGTGTGGGGGGGGATGAAAGTAAATTTAACTCGTTTTATCCCAGGAAATGCTGTTTCCTGTCACATCTAAGTTGTCACTTTTCACGAGCTTTAAAATGAATATCCCTGCATCTGGAGAATAACACCAAAGCCCACCCAGACATTCACCTGCCTGAACCACAGTCTTTTATTACCACCACTGAAATTCATGTTTAGAAAACTAGGGTGAAGAAAATTCAATGTAGTGTTCAAAAAACTATGACCCCCCCACCATTATATATAACTATAAAACATCAATTAAAAAAACATGGAAAAAAAAAAGAAAGAAAAACTATGTTCTCACATGACAACTGTCCCTTGCACCAACTCTGACTGTGAGGGAGAAGGGAAAAAAAAAAAAAAAAAGAAAATGGACTGTGCTCCCAGCCTAGGAAAGGGGTAGTTAATCCCGTGATGGCTTGCTGAAGAATGCATGGTTTATTATTAAAGTAATCTCTTAAGATTTTCCTGGAATGTGCCTCCACAGCAACTCTGCCTGTGTGAGCTATCCTATGTATGTGTCTTTTCTTCCATAATTAAGTTGGTTTCTTTCTTAGCTCACGTACCAAATACTTTCTCATCTTTTTCTCTTCTGTCCTCTTCTCTATTCCTCTTGTTTTCTTTAATCTTCTGATTTTGAAACTCGCCATTTCCTATGAACTATAGATAGCACTTAGAAATTGGCCATATGGTAAACTGTCTGTGAGCCTTGATGCCTTCCTGGACACTTACAGACGTTCAAATCAAACAAATCAACTGCTGGGGATGTACCTTAGTGGCAATCACTTGACTGGCATGTATAAATCCCTGGGTTCAATGCCTAGTACCATAAAAACTAATAAATCAAGCTAATCAAGCTGAGCCCATGGTGCCTGTCTGAAGTTCTAACTATACAGAAGGCTGTGGCAGGAAAACCACCTGAATCCAAGAGTTTGAGGCCAGCCTGAGCAACAGAGTAAGACCCTAGATCTCCCATCCCCCCAAAAAAGGATTGGTTGAAATGCAAAGGTCACATTGTTTTTTTCCCCTTTATCTATATCTTTAAAGAAGAAGGAGAAGAAGAAAATGGTAATTGCTCCTGGAAAATGTTCTTTGACCTTGACTACTACTGCATATTTAACATTGCAGAAGAAATTGACCATATCAGATTTGGCTGCTGGCAGGGTAGGACAAACAATAGGAGATGTTTTGTTTTGTTTTTATTTCCTATCTACCTACTTACCTGTCAAATCTGAAGTATTCAGAGGATAATATCATTGAAGACTGCCTTTTAAAAAAATTGTCTTATTGGCTGCATTGACTTGTCTTCTTGTTTACATTCTGACAGCACCTTATTTGTGATGTGCAATATTAGTGAAACTCCAAAGGGAAAACATTATGGTGCTTGGAAAAATGGGAACATTGTGAATAAAGAGTAGTTTAAAATTCAATGTTATAAATTTATATAAATGATTACACTTTGCTACCAATACAAAACTTTTATAATGAGAAGTTGTAAACAGGCAAAAGTGTTTTTATACAGATTATCATTAAAATATTATTTTTTGGAAAGCAAGCAGGGAAGAGTTATCAAAATTAAAATACACCTGACCCTGCAAATGAAATAATAAAAATATATATAATCCTAAAAGAATACTAATATTAATTGTTATTGAGAAAACACTTGTACAGTTCACTATTCTGGGAATAAGAATCTATGACCTAGAAATAAAACATATATAATGTAAAAGGATGTCAATTGCTGCATTACTACTAGCAGTAAGGACTGGGAAACAAAGTATGCCCATCAGTGGGGGAATGGTTGAAAAAGATAATTCATCCAGGCTGTGAAATCATAGGCAGTCATTTAAAATTGGAGTTCAATCTTGTAATATAGAAACATCTCTATAGATTTTGGTTGAGTGGGAAAAGCAAAATATAGAAAAGAATTTGCACTATGTATATACTTTATTAAGACATAAAGCAACCCCTACTCATATAAGCTTGAGTGTATGTTTGTACATGTGGATGCAAGATTATAAAGGAAACTAGAGACATAATACAGATTACTAGGTTTTGATGGAGATAAGGGTAGATGAGAGAGCAGAAAGGATGAGTATCATGCAAAAAGGAGAAAATAGCCCATATGAAAATATAGATAAAAGTATATTTATACATCAAAGCGAAATGACATGCACGCTTTTGTGTAATGCAAAAAAAAAAAACACTATTTGATTTTAAGGTAAGGTAAGGGAAGAAATATAAAAGAGATTCCACACAATAGTCTTCATGAAGCTACACCTCCAGGTCTTTCAAAAGAGAAGAGTATCCATGAGTATCCCATTGTCTGATTCAGCCTCCAGAGTAATAGTTTTCAAAGTTTAACATTTAAATAGTCACCTTGGGAGCTGGTTACAAAGGATAATTTCTGGGCCCTGCCACAGAGACCCCTGTGGAAAGCTGTGTGTGTGTGTGTGTGTGTGTGTAATACTTGGAAACGTGAATGTTTAGTGACACTTCTGGGTGATTCTGATGCCGTAGTTGTGAGGACCACACTTTGAGAAATGCTGAATTTCTATTGAGATCCAGAGGGAATCTATTTTGTTATTCTGTGTGCCAGGTGAGATTTACCATAATCAGAGCCACAAGATTGAGAGGTGGGTGCCACCTGACATCAGCCACCAGCTGTTGTCTCTCTTTTTGGCTCTCCAAAGTCTCAGACTCGGTTCTGACTCTGTCAGTGGTGGCCCTCAGCACCTATCAAAGATTGTTTTCAAAGAAAGATCTGGTATCAGCCATTTGCACTGATACATACCCAGACATTGGCATCTTTGATCCTGTCCCTTATCATGGAATGAAAGATACTATGCATTGTAAAAGGGTTCTCAGTCATCTTTGTAAGAACAAAGAGAGATTTTCCCTCCTATGCTTTAGAAGATGGAGACAACTGTTGCCTCTATTCTGCACCA